GATCTGTGCTGTGAATGATTATTTTGTTGAAAGGGACATGGGGCTTTAAAAGGCATCACAATGCGAAGGAGAGAGTTTTGCCTAAAGAGACGTGACTGTATTCATCTTTGCACCCCTGCCAGGAGAAAGCAAAGGAATAAGATTCTTTTGAAAACAGAGGGCTTGAACATATTTCCAAGACCCCTGAGGTGCAGCTGAAAAAAACAAAGCAGCCAAAACGTTCTTCTGTTCATTCTTTCCTAGTGGCAGTAGAATGGCTGACGATATTATTACCAGGATAACAGGATATTTCAGGTTGTAAGGGAACTCAGAAAGTCTCTCCTCCAAACCACCTACTCACAGCAGGCTAGGCTATGACTGGAGACTAGGTTACTCAGGGATTTATGTAGTTGGGTCTTGAAAAATCTCTGGAGATGGAGATTGCACACCTTCACCTGGCAACCTGTCCCATTGCTGAGGAACTGCCCTCCAGAGGAAAACCTTTCTCCTTACCTGTCCCTTTCTAGTTTCAGTTTATGTCTGTTGTTTCTGCTCCTACCACACACCATTGTGAAAGGTCTGGGTCTGTCATCTCAGTAACCTCCTTGTAGGTGCTGGCAGGCTGTTATTAGGTCCACCCAGAGTCTCTTCTTCCCAATGCTGAACCAACTCTTCTAGGCTCTCTGCACATGGAAAGTGCTCCAGACCTGAGCATCTTTGTGGGCTGTGGCTGACCTTGCTCTAGTTTATCAAGACCACCTTGTACTGGGAGGGGGCCCAAACAGCCCAGACTGCTGTTAGCCACCTCTGCTGCCATGGCACACAACTTGGGTCCATTTCAGCATCCACCAAGGTCCCTGGGTGCTTTTCCACCAGGTTGCTCCTCAGTGAGTTTGTCCCACCTTCCACATGTGTGGCTAAGGGACTCCCTGTTGCTGTCTAGGACATCTATGGATCATCTCAATAGCTCTGCTCACAGGTATCCTGTATAATCATCAGATCATGAAGTCACTATTAAAAGGCATCATGAACATCACTCTCAGCCCCCATGGACCTTTGAATTGGACAGTGACACTGGAGACCAAACACCACTGGGGGACGTTGCTGGTGCAGAAGTCAGGGAGGAGACAACTCTCAGACACGTGACTCCAGTCTGTGAAGGTGTAGCTGAAAATGAGGTGAGAAACTGGGTTTGACTGGGAAATCTGTCATCAGAAATGGGAGATCCTCCATGTAGAAACCCAGGAACCTTGGCCCAGAATTGCACCTAGGCCAGTGCTTCTCTGTATGCTCCTCTTCCAGCCCTCTTGTCCAGCCAGGGTTTCTGTCTCTGAGCTGGGCTGATCCCTGAAGGATGCCTTAGGTTCCCAGGCAGACATAGGCTTACTTGCATGTCCAGTGCAAATTTGAAAATGCTTGTCTTCTTGAGATGAGGGTGTGTGGCTGACCTCCAGCTCAGCCAGCATTTTTACCACAGGCTACCCAAGGAAAATGGAAGCACTTGGTTGTTTGCTTTCCTCCCAGGGATTTTTCTCCTGGGTTGATTTCCAGTTTAATCGAAATGAACTAAGTTCTGAGTAGCCCCATGATATGATCTCGTGCCATGCCTTGGGAAGAGTAAGAGTAAGGAAAACTCAGGATGAATCCTAGCTCGGCAAGACTAAAATGCGTAGGGCAGGTTGGTTTCACAGCTAACAGGGGCTATGCTCACCCATCGTTACGGTACGAGTAGGATCTTGCTGCACCTCAGAAAACCAAGCAAAGGATACAGGCAGACAGGTAAACTTACGGGAGCAATAAGATGGTATTGATTAGTTTACAGACTGGGGGAAAGAGAAACAGCCTTCAAAGCACTATTTCCATGGAGACTACATTCCACTCCCTGTTTCTACGGCGGCTTTCATCAGGAGATCTTGACTGTCCTTCGGTCTGCCTAGTCGTTGATATGGAAGAAAGAAAGGGAAAGATAGGAATTGCCTCTTTATTGGGAATCAGACAGGGATACGGAGAGGGGAAACATGAGCCTGACACCAAGTCTACTGACACCAGTTAGAGTCCTTCCAGAGACTTGAAATGTATGCCTAGAAAACAGACTGATGGTGACCTCCTGGCAAATGCAAGTGTCTCAGCTTATGACTCCAGAGGAACCAGAACATAAGCTCCAGGACACAGATATTCCAATTCTTGTTGCCAACCAGGTGCGTTTGGTGCCCACTGATAGGTTTCGCAGCCCACAAACTAGTCACAGGTTGTCTACTGGGCAGGCAAGTGCAGAAGTTAAGAGTGCATTGTATGTACTGTGATGAGCTTTGGAATGAGCCTCATGTGTCCAATCTCAGATAGGAAACCCTCAGCTGGTGTAAACCATATGCCTTCTACTAGCTGCCACAAAGCACTCACTTTGCCTGATATAACCTAGACCCTGCCTTTCTTTCTCTAATCCTGGTCTTTATGATCCCCTCCCTTGATATGGTGTGTTTAGTCACACACCTACCTATCTCCATCATCCTCCTCTGCTCTGAACTCTGAGAAGACAAAAAAAAGCCACCCTCAAAATAATTTTCTATTGCTCTTCTGGGCATGGTCTGAAATCTTGCTCTGGTAAGGTTGACAGTAGAAATTCAAGCTTGATTTTCATCACAGTGCTCTACAGAAAAAGGGCCATGGCTGTCAGTACCTCAGGCATGACAGACATCAGAAAGTTTCCATGGGAAAACCAGTAGAGGTGGTGGGTGTGTTAGCATGGCAATCACTTCAAAATTAACATAAGCAGTATCCCGTTAATGCTGTATGTCCATCATGCTGGCTTGAAACAGGGTCCAGGGCTGGAAGGCCTGAAAATCTCTGCTTGGGACTAAAAATAATCAGAAAACGGCTTTTATTTTTTTGTGAAAATACACTCGTGGTAGCAACAATAACCTGCAATTTCTGACAGTATCTGCTGCACTGAAAATACCTTTTTCATCCCAGACTGGCCCAGAGACGGAGCAAACACAGAAGTACTCAGTCCATGTATTTCTAACCTGTAGGTATATCTGTCCCCTATAAAATGCCAGGAGACCGTGCATTGCCATCGTGATGCATGCAATGAATAAAAGCACTGACACAGTCCTCTCATCAGGCACTTCTGCTTCCCAGCTGCCATGAAGACCATTTGCCTCACTTTGCAGAATTCAGGGCGCTGAAAGCAGGGAACGGCACGGGCAGGCACATTTCCAGTTTTATTTGTATCTCTGCCACACTGGGATCTGTCATGCTAGCTGGCACACCACATGGAAGGCTATGTGAAGACTCTTCCCTGCTCCTCCTCTTTGGCAGAGATGATAGATCTAACGAGACAGAATCTCAAATCTCCCTTCTCCCTCCTCCCTCAGTTACCTCATTGAGGCACATGAATCCAAATTAGAGTTAGGAGGGGGAAATGTTACAAAATTTTAAGTTGTTAATTTAAATTTGCTGTGCATTGCCAGTCAGCTCAAAGTTCAGTGTGATCGAGCTGTTAGGACAAGATGCCTCCAAAAGCAGGGAATTAACGTCAGTGTCTTCCAAGATATTTTCCACACCTACGTAGTCCTGAAAACTAGAGAGAGACCGATTTAAATCTGGGGATTTAAATCCAGCTTGCGTTGGAAAGTCCTCTCAAACATGTGAAGAAAATTCAGAACAAGCATGCTAAAGGGAAAAGAGCAAATTGCTCCAGCCCTGGTGAGATACAGGTGATGGAGGATATATCGCACAGCCTGCTTTTTCCTTTCTGCTGTTGCAAAGAGGCCAGATGGAGGGAAGGAGCGTGCAGAGGGACAGGTATCTGGTGTAACAGCATGAGTTGAGAAGGGAGACAATTAATTTTGCATTTAAATGCTCTCTTGCTCAAATTTTCTTCTGATGAAGGTCTTTCACATGAGGTTTTTCTTCTTACATCATTAAACAGGATTTCTTTCCCTGATCTTAGATACAAAACCACTCACAAGTTACGTGTTGTCTTCCTTTCCAGAGTAAAGAAAATGATGCTGGTTTTATTGAAACCAACCCAGAGTAGTGTTTATTACTGGAAATATACAGTATTTCTGAACATCACATAAAAAGCCTAGTAGGTACATCTGCTCTAGTTCAAAATGCTGAATAGATAATCTTTGTGCAGCATGTAGCATGATCCTCCTAATGCAAACATCCTCTTATTCCTATTTTTACAGTGCTTCCCTTTTATATCTTTTAAACCCAGAAAACATGTCCTGTTGTTCTTCCCCACCCCAATCCCCTTAGCTGAAAAAACCCAAGACTTTCCAAAGGCTACTTACACTGTCGAAAGCGTGGGGCTAAGAGGAGTAAGGATACTTTATACAGCTATCTAGGGATATTGCTGTCCTTTTCACAACTTCGTGTATGAACAGGGCACGGTTCTTGCAAGGCAAAGTGCCCTGTCTTAAACAGTCCAGTGGTGCCCTGGCCAAGTCCCAGTCTATCAAATGGAGAAATGGGGAAGGTAGATACATTTGGATTCCCCACACCACCTCTTGGATCCTCTTTTACTTGCTGCCACACATTCTGAAATGACAGTCCTGCAGAGAAGAAATGTTTACAAAGAACCAAGAAAGAGACGGGCTATCTACACACCAAACTGTTGAAATCATTGGGTATCAATGTACAGGGGGAGATGGGCAGTATTTTAAAAATAGTCTTTGTTCACCACAACACAGAAAGGAAAAACAAAAAAAAACAGAAAGGAGAAAAAAATTGGTTGCTCTTGCCAGTGTGCTGTTTCAGACTTTGTGAATTTTCAGCGCTGACTCTCTTTCTTCTTTGAATCTGCTTCGACACCACCTCTGCCAAGAGGCTTTTGCCTGGTTGTTTAAAGCAGCATCACAAATACGGGAGATGAGAGTGCAGAGAGCTACGGCGGGCACCTCATTGCGAAAGGGAGCAGTGCAGAATAAAGGCAGAACGTTTGAAGAAAGGGGCCGGGGGAGAGTGAAGAAAGAACCCTGAAGGCCACCGGTCGGTGCGTGTATGTGCGGGGCGTATCACACGGTCGCGGTCTGTTTGATGCTATGGAAGCTGATTCGTGTCGGAGAGGTGGGGATAGACATGGCACGCGCCACGCGCACTCGGAGGGAGTGATGGTCTTGCCAGCGGTGCCATCTTTTCCTGGCAGCAGAACGGACCTGGCGAAAAAAAGAAGGGAAGAACATGAACACTCAGAATACGCAGGTGTCCTCTGTGAGGACACTAGACAGCACCGAGACAAATGTCAATATGGTTCAAGCCACTGAAACAGGCAGGGCTTGATTCAGCTGGCTAAACGTTGCGTCTAGGTTCACTTGATATTCTCTCGGGTACTGAAGTCTGGGAAAAGCATGGGTTTTACATATCTCATGTCTCATATCTGATGTCTTAAATACCCCAGAGCATTTCAAATGGCAATAAATGCCCCAGCTTATGCAATTGAATCAAGCCCTCAAGTTGGATGTACCTGATGGAGGACTTCCAGAGACCTACCAGAGGGGCTGTAGCTGTCCTTGTTTCCCTTGTGTATGAAGGGGCATCACAGATTGAATAACCAAACACTGGTGTCTACAATACAGACACACCTGACATATTCCCTGTGAGCATCTTGCATAGGCAGTGGAAAGCTACTCTACAGTCAACAGAAGCTCATCCTCAAGCAGATGCTTACAAACAGGCCAGATAAATCTTGAACTTTAAGTGCATATTTTCTTGCACGGACCAAAGAGAGACCCCAGGAGCTCCAGCTCAAATATAATGCATATAAACAAGAGAGAGACAGGTGACAGGAACCCTAACCTCCAACACAATGGGAGGGAAGTCTTGACACACTCCTAACATAGACCATAATCAAGTCCTGCCAAATCACTGGCACAGAAAACTCAAAGTCAGAAGCTGAAATGAAACATTTATACCAATTTCTGGATATTCTTGTTGACCTCTCCTTACTGTACAGACAGGAGCAATTCGGACCCCTAACCCAGGCTGCTAGGTAAGCCTACAAAATCAGGTGAGATGAATCTGGGCCCAGCTTCTTGGACAGTCAATGGGCAATTGTACTCATGACACTTGGAAAGGTTGTTGACATTCTGCTGCCAACCTGAAATATAGTCAACTTTGAAAAAAACATTTTTTACGTACAATCTCTCCATCAAGCCAGGGCATCCTTTACCAAAACCACATTCATTTAGAAAGTGGGGTTATAAATAATATAATGTAGACATTACACCTCAGCTACTGACACATATTTCTCTTCCTGACCAAGAGCAAACCAGTCAGTACAGTCAAAGGTCAATATGGTCCTATTCATCTCCTCCTAAAGCAGATGTCTAAAGTAGGCCAGATACTAGTCAGATGAAAAATACCTATTTCCTTTCATTAGTTATAAAGTAAGTCTAGACAACTACCTCTGCTTTAGATGTCTAGATTAAAAATTTAGCTAAATTTAGACAATATTGATATCTTACCCTCAATGTTTTTCAATCTTTTAATGTTCTCGTCTTCACTCCTCACTATCCCTCAAAAGTAAAGGAGTGCTCTTATCCCCATTTTACCACTGGTAGGCTAAAGCTTGGATATTAATAGCAGTGATGCTGTTGTAGAGTAGAACTACACATGGATCAGCTACCATGGTAACTGTACAAGGCCTGGGATGAGCTTGCACAGCTTGTGTGAAACCCATGCTGACACAGCTTCTCAGTTATCAGCGCCTGAGGTAGATCAAAGCCATCCTGGGTGTGTCTATAATCACCACTGGGATTGCAGGGAAGATGGTGTTGAAACAAATTGTCCAAAGGTGCACAGCCACTGCTTTTCTCCAGTTCTTTTAAAACCTGGGGCCCGTCTTCAGGTGCAGTGTGATGTGTACTCAAAACACGATGAACACACCCTCTCCAAGCCCACCTCAGACCAGCTCCGACATGCAGCCTAACAGGTGCTCAAATGAGATGATGAGCTCTAGTGGCAGAGATATTGCCCACCCAAACCACACACTGTCAGTATTAGGTGTCCTAGATGAACAGGAATGATGGCCTGATAGTTATACAACAGTTCATAAGGAAGACATGGGAAGGAGGGATCTGCAGTCTTTCTCTTAGGTGGTTTTGGTCCTCCCATTTCTTGGTGCGTCTTCGGTTACTCAGACAGATCTATAGTCTACTTAGAAACTCCACATTGTTGTGGTCTGGCACCTAACAATCCCTTCTCATCACCAGCTTTGTTCATGAAATACAGCCCATTTAAGGTTTATGAGCATCACCTTAGAAAACTGTTTTGCAATTGCCCTCTTTGGTGCCTTTTCAGGGGAATCCTGAAGCTGGAAATCTGGCTTTTCTATCAGAGCCTTTCTGAAAGGTGCAGACTGGGCAAAACAGACCTGAGGATCTCTTTCTTTGGTTGTTTTCTCAACTGTGTGATCTGTTGCTTGTTCTGACACTTAAAACAAGTATATGCAGATGTTTATAGTTAGGTGAGAAGTATGACATACTGGGTTTATTTTTTTTTTTTTTTTTAATTCTGAATCAAAGATTTGTTTCAATATAAAATAAAGGGTTTTACATATAATAGGTGGGACAGCCACTACAAAAATAAAGCCTATGTGGGGATAGGACTGCTTGCATGGAAAAGGGGAAGAGTGAACATCCATTGAAAGAAGAATTAAAGTTAAAAGACAGCACTGCCAGGAGGACCATGATCATAATGAATTTGTGAGAATAACGTGGTTAGTGCAGTGCAGGGGATTTCTGGAAGAGCCTCTCTGCTGGTTTTGGCTGGGATAGAGTTAATTTTCTTCATAGCAGCTGGTATGGGACTATGTTTTGGATTTGTGCTGGAAACAGTGCAGATGAAACAGGGATGTTTTCATTATTGCTGACTAGTGCTGACACTGAGTCAAGGCCTTTTCTGCTCCTCACCCCACCAGCGAGGAGGCTGGGGGTGCACAAGAAGTTGGGAGGGGACACAGCTGGGACAGCTGACCCCAACTGTCCAAAGGGATATCCCATACCATATGGAGTCATGCTCAGCATATAAAGCTAGGGGAAGAAGGAGGAAGGAGAGATCATTTGGAGTAATGGTGTTTGTCTTCCCAAGTAACTGTTATGCATGATGGATCCCAGCTTTGCTGGGGATGGCTGAACACCTGCCTGTCCATGGGAAGTGGTGAATGAATTCCTTGTTTTGCTTCGCTTGCATGTGTGCTTTTGCTTTACCCATTAAACTGTCTTTATCTCAAGTGAGAGAAACCCATGAGTTTTCTCACTTTTACTCTTCTGATTCTCTCCCCCATCCCACCGGAGTGGGGGGTGGAGCGAGCAAGTGGCTGTGTGGTACTGAGTTGCTGGCGGGGGTTAAACCATGACAGCTTCTCCCTATGAATTAGTAGGTACAAAACACCTCCCCTCGTTTCAAGATGGGGTTTGCTCAGTTTACAAGATGAGTTAAATGAGAGAGTTACAGGAGAGACCCAGAGTCAGGATAGGCTGACTCTGCTATATGCTGCTACTACAGCAGAAGCCGTCCTGGACTGCTGACGTTCGCTGTCTCATCAAACTGACCTCATTAGTTCACTGAACCCTGCTGTTACAATATGAGAAACAGTGGAAAGACAACGTGTCATGGTGTTGCACTTTCCTTAATGCCCACTGTTTGCAAACCTATCACGGTTCTACCTGGAGTGGCCAAGGGATACTTATTTCTGATTCTGGATTTAAGGGTGCAAATTATATAATCCCAAAGGCAAATACATGTGTGGGATACATCTCATCTGAAAGCTTGACACTGATACCTAGTCTTGACCAATTTTTTATGTTTTCAGTACAGAAAATGGAGGAAGTGAGACAATTCCACTAAGGAGATGACTTAGATAAGTGGAATAAGTAAGTCCTTGCTCAATCTTGCTGCTCTGAGTACAAAACCAGCCAAATGCTTGGCACCTAAGGCAAATGGTATAAGTAACATGTAAAGTGTCAGAGGGGTAACCACTGTCATGGGAAATTGTCCCATAAAGAACATGGGACTGTATTTGCAGAGGGACGTTGCCCCTTGAATGCTCATTTCTGCCCAGATGTCACCAAATGCTGAGATACGGTTACAAAAAGCTTCTTCCCCTTTCTGCTGGAGTGAAATTCACCCTTGTGCAAGGAGCCTGTGACCCACTTATGTCCTTCAAAGGGGTGAATTTCTTCATCTCTGGTGCAAAAGCAGAGAATAAATCTCTGTAGAGCACAGCCTTGCTAAAGATATTCGTAGCCTGGCAGTCCTGTGAGTTCGTGTATCCCAGGGACTCCTACAGCAGCATTTCATGGGGTCATGAAAAGGGGGAGTCACCTGGTTGGCTTTTTGTGTTTCTGGGCAACTGGTGTCAACAGATACTTACTCAGCCAGTGAAGCCAGACTAGATTTATCATTTGTGCTTCAAACCAATCAAGTCAAAAAGAGTCACCTGGAGATAAAGACGTGAGTCTAAACAAGCAGTTGTCCAAATGGCTGTTATGATATGGTTTACTTGCAAGCTTTAGAGAGGATAAAAAGTAGTAACAAAAGTGCTGTCTTGTACAGCTGGAGCCATTCCTAATGGAGGGAGCACACGGCAATAGACTCTGCACTTACAGGGGTGAGTGCAAAGCATTTCTTAATGACAGAATAATTCACTGCAATTAGGATGGGGCCAGAGCACAAGCAGAAAAGGTTAAGCTCAAATTTATCTCTTACAACTCAACTCAGAAACAAAATGCTCGCTTAACTTTAGGTCAGAAAAGAAAAAAGAAAACTGACAGTGACTGCGATAATAACATGTTAAAAAAAACCACCCAAAAAGCGCTATTACCAGTGAAAGACTAATAGAAAAAGATAAAGCAAAATATCAACTTCAAACCTGGTGGTTATTCTCCACAAGAGCAACTGCCTTTATCTGTTAAGCATTTCTAGAGTCAGTACCATGTCCTAGAGCCATCAATAGCACATCTATGACCTGAAATGAACAGCACTTGTGGTAATAGCCCAAAGATGCGTACAGGCGATCATCAGTGGTTAAAGCTTGACAGAGTCTCAGGAATACAAATTATCAGCTTCACCTCTGTGTAACTTTAGTTGCTGGCGATGACAAAGTTTGTCCATTTTCTGGATAGTTCTATGTGTTGACCCTTGGTCTGTCTTTTTC